CCCCCCCCGCACCCCCCCCAGACAACCAACCCGCCCCCTCCCAAACCAACCAAACCCCCCCCACCCCCCCCCCATCCAACCAACCACCCCCCCACCCCCCCCCCACCCACCCACCCACCACCCACCCACCCACCCACCCACCCCCCTCCTTTCCGCTGGCAGGTGGACGACGTTTGAGAGCGCGGTGAGCACCGAGGCGCTCGCGCGCCTCGCCTACTTCCCAGGGCTGGGCAAGCTGCTGGAAGAGCGGCTGCCGCCCAAGGTCGTCGAGATCGACGGCGCGGGGCCCCGTGTGGCGGAGATGGAGGACCGCGCCGACGAGGGGATGGGGCCGCGTAACAAGCGCGTGATCGCCGCGATCGAGGCGGCCTCCTTCACGGGCAAGGGCGACAAGCCGGTGGTCGTCCAGCTGTACCGTGACTACGCTACCAAGGTGCTCAACGCGATGAATGCCTCGGGCGAGGTGCAGAAGGGGGAGTACGAGGGTGAGTACAACGCGGCGGGAGAGCGCGAGGGGCGCGGCGTCTTGCGGCTCGCCAACGGCGACGTCTACGAGGGCGAGTGGAAGGCGGGTAAGCAGGAGGGGCGCGGCGTCTACCGGTACGCCGACGGCAGCGTCTACGACGGCGAGTTCAAGGCGGATAAGTACGAGGGGCGCGGCGTCTATCGGTGGGCCAGCGGCGACGTGATGTCGGGCTTCTACAAGCAGGGTGCTCGCGTCGGCGAGGCCGTCGGGTGGGCTGCAGACGGGCGGCGGGTGGTGCGGCTGCGTGACGGGAAGGCGGTGGAGATGATCTCGCTGGAGGAGGCGCGGCAGACCGCCGAGCGGCTCGGGCTCCCGCTCCCCTCCCCGCTGCCCGGCGCCGCGTGAGAGGCAGCACTCTTAGCGACAGGGTTGGTGGACTAATGTTAGAACGGTGTTGGCACGTTAACGGTTAACGCGGTGCTGAGACTGGCCGCAGCGCGATGAACGGCACGACGAGCCGCGTGCTTGTGCTGCATGCAAGCTGGTCTTCGAGCACCAGAATGCAGCGGCACACAGCTGCAAGCAATGCAAACTGCCGGTGCACTCGTGGGTGGCGTGCGATATGGTGTGGATGCCAGAAGAAGGCGAGTACTTCTGCGGCAAGCCCTGCCTCGAGGCGTACAACGCCAGCGGCGTGCGCAGCGAGGGCGCCCTGCCGCTCCGCCAGCGGGTCGACTCGCCTGAGGAGCCCCCGGGCCAGGGTGGCGGCGGCAAGGAGGCTGGCGGCGAGGAGGGCGGTGGCAAGGGCGGCGGCGAGAGTGCGGCGAGGGCGGCGGCGGCGAGGGCGGCGGCGGCGAGGGCGGCGGCGAGGGCGGCAGCTCGTCAAGGGCAGCAAGCGCGGTCGCCAGGCCCACCCGGCCGCCGCACCCATCAAGTATGAGCACAAGGCGGAGGACTGCCTCTAGAGAGGTGCGTGTGTCGGGGTTGGTGTACGGCGCGCTCGTCTCGTTGTGTGCGTGAGTCATCTACCTTGGACCCGTCTGTCTGGGGAGGGGAGGGGCTGTTGCTGCCCTTGGTTTTAGTGTGTAAAGAACGCGCATCTGGTCATATTCACTTCACACCCGCAGCTGCGATTGCGAACATGTCCCATGGGCGTCCCCAGCCATCCGCATCCCAAATGCGCCTATTCATGATTATCCCTCGTGCTCGACGCCCTCCTCAAAGTCGGCAATCGCCGCATCCACATCCTCCTCTTCCGCCTTTCGGTACTTCTTGAGCGCATTCTTCAGTGGCGTCTTGCCACAGTTCTCGTACAGCTCCTCGAGCTCCACCAGCGCGTGTCGGTGAATCCAGCGTCATTGCTGTCCTCTTTGAAGGTGCCTCGCGTGAGGTAGCACACGGCCTTGTCGGCAGCAGCCAGCCTGTTGCGCCGCTTCTTTGCGATGAGCTGCTCGGGCTCGCAGAAGCGCATGCCGAGCACTGCCTCAATCTTGAAGCAGAATGTCGGCACGACCGCATCGTCCGCACCGCCACCTGCCAGCCGCGCCTGGCGCAGCGCCGATGCTGCCTTTAGCACTTGTAGCGAGCGCACATGGTGCGGTGCGCGTACTTGAGCAGGCGGTGCGCGCCGCAGTTGGCGCAGGGGCCCTGGGAGTGGGCGCGCGCGGCATTGACGCGGACCCAGGTATTTCTCGGGTATACCTGGTTTACCCGGAGGGTGTGCCAACACCGTGCTAACGGCTGTGCTAACGCTTGTTTTGGGACTGCCGTTCGACTGTGCTAACACCGACCTTTGCGCCAAGTGTTGGCACGATCTGTAGTCAGTGCTGCCCCTGGAGGTGTGCTAATGTTAGTCCACCAACCCTGCTTAGCGAGAGCACCCGTGGAGCACATGTTCTCCGTGCGAGAACCGAGCCGCGACCTATCTCATTTTGAGTCGGCGGCGGCGGGGGCAGGCTGCCGTCCCCGCCGGATTCCTTCCGGGGCGGGACCGGAAGTTGGGCCGGGGGCCGGAGGGGAGGGGGGGGGGTGCGGGCCATGTGGCGCTCGGCGCCGGTCCGCCAATTCCTGGTTGCGTTCCCCGGGCGGGGCGGCCGAGGGGGAGATGCGGGAGGAGAGTGGCTCTCGATCGAGAGATCACCTTGGGAAGGGCGCGCGGGCCGCGGCGTCTGTCTACCGGGAGCCGACCCACGGTGCGTTGTGTAGGATGGCTGGCTCACACGGCAGGCACTATGGCGGCGCGAGTCGATGAGCGGGAGCCGAGAGATCGCCGAACAGCGAAAAGAAAAGCATAAGAAAGAAAGAAAACAGACAACCCAAGGGAGGGATGGGAGGACGGCACGCCGCCACCACACACAGGGATTTTAAGGAGAGGTGTGTGATGCGCTAGCCGTCGCCCACCCTAGGGAGTCTGCCTCTTCCTATCTCTCTTCGCAGTCTCTCGCCGCTTCTCGCTGCAACCTTCATGCCACCTCGCGGTCGTCCCACTCTCGTCGTTCTCTCCCTTGTCATTTCCTCCTCTGTCGCGTCGTTCTCTTCTGCCTCGTAAAAGAAAGAAAGAAAACGGACACCCCAAGGGAGGGATGGGAGGACGGCACGCCGCCACCACACAGGGATTTTAAGGAGAGGGGTGTGGTGCGCTAGTCGTCGCCCACACCCTTGGGCGTCCGCCTCTTCCTATCTCTCTTCGCAGTCTCTCGCCGACTCTCGCTGCAACCTTCATGCCACCTCGCGGTCGTCCCACTCTCGTCGTTCTCTCCCTGGTCACTTCTTCCTCTGTCGCGTCGCTCTCTTCTGCCTCGTCCTGCGACGCCGCCGCCTGCCTGTCCCTTGTTCTCGCGGCTTCTTTCGCCTTTCGGCGCAGCTCCGTCCTCCTCGCTGCATATCCTGGCCCCTCGAGTCTATCGAGCTCTCCTCGAGCAAGGACGACTCTTCTGACGCCCACTGCGATCATTTGCCACCCAGTCATATCATTGCTCAGGTCCACTCTCTCTTCGAGCACTTGTGCCTTCACGGATGATGCCGGCGCTGGAGTCCCCTTCGGGTGCATCGTGACGGCTGACAACGGGATTTCCACTGGTTCGTCCTCCTCGGAGTCGTCTTCCCCCTCTTCCTTCCGCTCGGCTCTACGTTCAGTACGTTCGGCGTGGCTCACCCTCCATGCCGTGAACAGGCGCTTTATCCACCCTATATTCTTCTCTCGTTCCTCTGCCCGTGCCTTGGTCTTGTCGTTGTTTCGCACCCATGTCTGTAGCGCAGCAAGGGCGGGGTGCGCACTGCGCGCCGCGAGGATGAGGAGCCTGAGCCAGGGGAGGGTTGGGAAGGGGGGGCGAGGCCGGAGGAGTATGACGGCCTCTTCGACGGCCCATAAGGGACCGTTGTCTGCTGTGCCTTTTGTGGTGCTAGTTCGTGCCAGTCTGCTGTGAGAGGGGCTGATTGTAGAATTCTTTTAGTTCAACACAGCGGCCCGCTCGCCGCCCGCTACCTCTCTCCCTGTGTGCGACCTCTTGCTGCGCTCGCTCATGCTGTACGCCGACAAGAATGCGCTGCGGACGCAGCTCAAGGTGCAGATGCTGCGCATTCGCGAGAAGGAGCTCATGTACTACACCAACAACTGCCTCTCCATCTCGACCTCGGCGGCGCTCCTTGCGGGCTTTGCCTGGTACGGCCTGACCGAGGCGCGCGGCCCGACCCTGCCGCCCCCCGCCAGCAGCGCTCCCCGGCGCGCCTCGGCGGCTGCGCGCTCTCGGGACTGCACCAGCGGGTCGCTCGGCGGTCCTTGCGGGCGCGGGCGTTGGCGCTCCCACAAGTCGCCACCACCGCGCGCGCGCCCGCCGCGCAGGTGCCGTTCGACGAGCAAGCGGATGCGCTGACTCAGACGTCCTACCTCGTCGTCACCACCCTCATCATGGGCCTCGAGCTGCTGACTGTCGTCAACGCCACGCTGTGCGCTGCCCGCCGCCCCCACCTCCATCGCCACCGCCGCCGTCAGCGCCGCCACCGCCGCCACCGCCATCACCGTTGCCGTCTCTGCCTCCGCCATCGCTGCCGCCACCATCACCGCCCCCGCCCTCCCTGCCGCCCTGCCCCCATCACCACCGCCACCATCCCCGCCGCCCGCCGCCGCCGGCCGGCCGCGCCCGACGGCGACAGCCCCCACCGAGCCGCCGACCTCTTGTCCCCGTGGCAGGTGCGCCATCCTCGGCCCTGGCCTCGCGCTGCGCGGCCCCGACGGCTCGATGGCGACCGCGGTGCGCGCGCGCACGCGCAAGCACACACACACACACACACACACACACACACACACACACACACACACACACACACACACACACACACACACACACACACACACACACACTCACACACACTCACGCACACCCTCGCTGCGCACGATTGGCGCGGGGAGCCGACGCGAGGCACACTGCCACCGGCCGTATCACTGCGTCCGGACTGCTGGACGCACAGGTCACAGCTCACAAGACAGCTCACCCGAGTCAGAAGATCGTGTGTGCCACCAGGGGACATCAGCCCTGGTTTGTGGTGTGTGTGTGCGGGAGTTGGGTTGTCGGGAGGGAGGGGGCAGGCCGCTCACCCACGTGCGACTGGGCCTTGCGCCGCCGTCCCCTACCTGCCCTGCCGTGAAACCCACACTGCCCTTCCCTGCCCTGCCCACACACTGCCCTGCCGTGAATAGCCGGGGTCCCGCACCTCCCACAAGTCTGGAACCCCAAGCCGTATCTGCACCACTGGTTTGCCTCACCGTGCCGCAGGTGAACGGGAGGATGAGAACCCACCCTCCCCTACCCCACGGTACCCGAACCCACCCTCCCCTACCCCACGGTACCCGAACCCACCCTCGTGCCGCAGGTGAACGGGATGATGACGCACTACAAGTTCACGCTGATGTGCTTTGCGACGGGGCTGATCTGCTTCATGCCCTCTGCCCCTAGATGCTTCTTCATGCCCCTCTGCCCCTCAGATGCTCCCCCCCCCCCCCCCCCCCCTTTAAATATTTTGGTTTTTAATCTAAAAAAACGCCTCCTCCCCTTTTT